TAATAAAATAAATAAATAAATAAATAAATATATTAATATACAATCTAATTAAAAGTAAAAAAAAATTTTTTTAAATATAAAAACAATATTGCAACAGTAAAAAAAATAAAATAACAAGTTTAATTTAATAAAAAATAATTAAAACAAATATTTTAATTAAATTATAAAAAAAAAAGACAAGTTTAAATTCAAAAAGTGCCTTAATATTAGAAAGCAATTAACAAGTAATAATATTATTTTAATTAATCTTTAAAAAATATTTTGAAACAAAATTAGAAAGAATAAAAAATAGTTAAAAATACAGTATAATTATGATTTTATTAAAGTAAATTATAACAATAAACTGCAAGCAATAAATTCAATACTCTTAAAATAAAAAACAAGTAAACAACTTTTCATGGATTATGTTTAAAAGTCAAAATAATATTATATATATATAAATATACATTTTCTGATATTACAGAAAAATATGTTATTTTAAAATTTGTAAAAAAAACACAAAAACATTACATCTTTATCTTATTAGATTCAGGATTGTATATTATTATTTATAAGAATAAAAGATAAATTAATTATAAATCAATTTTTTAAAACCGTAAGCATTTCATCATTTTAAAAACTTTTTCTTTTATCAACTACATCTAACTATATAATTACGAATGTGATTAATTTTAGTCGGCAAATTTATTTATCAAAGATTTTCGTATAAGAGGTGTTTTCATTTTTTTAACATTTTCATGAGATGTTTAATTTGTTTAACCAACAGCTATGCTCTATGGAAAATAAAATAATATCTAGACTAAAAATAATCAGACAGAAAAGATCATTAGTGAAAGATAAGTTTAATGTTTCATTACACTTGATTTTGTAAACAAATAAAAAAAAAGAGTTGTCGCAGAAGTATGTGAACAAATGTTCCTAATTAAATGAATTAAAAAGGACTGTCTTCCATTTCTTCTTCGTTACGTACTCGGTTCATCAAATCTTTAATCCGTGGCTCATCAAAATCCACCGTATCATTCGATAATATCGTTTCGACATAGTCATCTACTTTATCTAGATCAATTTTACAAAATGAAGCTATAATCCTTTTGTATTTCATGATTGAATCTAATGATTTTTTCCTTAAGGATTCAATTTCCTGCCGAAGTAAGTCTTCATCTGCAGCATAGGCATTTATTTGTGCTATAAGGTTTCTGATTTCATTTTCAATTAATTCTTCTGATGCTGATTTTTCGGGAACTACTGCATCATTATAAGGCATCATGGAGGGTGATATTGCCAATGTTTGCTGAAGAGATGGATGAGATGGTGCGCTTGGTGGAGATATTGTTATTGTAGGAGGTTTTTCTGCCGCAGGTTGTGAATTAGGCGGGTTTAATAATATTCTAGTCGATGACGAAGGTGTCGAGTGTATCGTTGATATATTTAGTGGCGCAGATAAAGATATTACATTAGACATTGAAGGAAGTGAATCCAGGGGAGCTGATGTTTGTGACAATGTCCCCAAATCATTACTTGAAGATTTCGGTGGTTCCCTGGTAGTAGTAGAGATCTCGGAATTCGTTACGGGAGACACTAGTGTAGAACCCTGCGATATTGGGATTGATGTATTAATATCTGTTATTGATGTCTTTGATATAGACGATGGATCCGACGCGTTGGTATCGGATTGGTGTAGGCCTGTTATTGGTGCGGGAATGGATGTTGAAACAGTTGAAAGAACATCTAATGCAGATGTCTCTCCATTTGAATGTTCAATTTTCTGACGTTTATTCGCGACAAAAGAATCTTCCAGATCCTCGGCATTTAAAACTTTTTCGAGAAATTCGATGTACTCCTCTGTTTCAATCAATTCATTTTCTTGCTTTTGGTAAAAATTAATTGCATTCTTCGCTTCGAGAAGTTGTCTTGAAGTAATACTGCATTGTCGCCGCGTTTCTATGAGTTTCTCATCCTTTGACCTTAATTGTTCAATCCATTCTGTCTCCGCGTCATCTATCAACTTCTGAATACCTATGTATGCCAGAATACAAGTTTGGGGTTCCAGTTCAGTTCAAGTATCAGGAGTATTTGTGAAGTCAAAAACTTACCTAATGCAACATCTCTAGATTTTCTACGAGGGTTGACAAAATTAGATGTAATTGGTTGATTGTAATAATCGGTGGATGCATCTAATCTACCATCCTATCAAAAAAATGAGGTCAAGAATCGAGACATTTGTAAAATGGTCACAGTTGGTAAGTCACTAAGCTTACGTTTAAATCTTCAAATTCGATGCGCTCTGTTGGATCAAAATCTATTGCTTTTAACCCTATTTTATTTTCTATTTGCTTACTAGCCCCCATTTCTATCAACTGACGAACCAACTGGCTATTTCCCACACGTGCAGCAATGTTCAAAGCCGTATCACCATTTTTGTCTTGAATATTCAAAATCGAAGAAATATTTCCCTGAACGTTCTGTGCAACCCACTGCTGTATACAATCCATATAATATTTTGCCGCAGCAGAGTGACCTTTTGTACCCGAAGTCATCGAGATATGATGAAAAACTGTTCGATTATCTTTGTCAGTCAAAGGGATAGTCTCACGGAGCAGATCTAGGACAGATGGGAAGTTTTGTGCTTCAAAATTATTGGTTACAAGAACTGCGCGTACTAAAGCCGATTCTCCTTCATAATTCAGTTGTTTTACGTTTGCTCCCCGCTCCAACAATAATTCCATCACTTGTAAACGAGCAAGAGCAGCCGCCCAATGTAATGCGGTATGACCATGGTTGTCAATGACAACATCATAGTCGATTTCATCTGGAGAGGACGGATTTGAAAGAAGATCAGGTATTTGATTTGGATCTTCATTGAGAAATATTGCCATTAATACATTCCGATGTCTCTCTCCCTCGTCCATTTCCGCAGCAGTAAGCAATGGTTCGGACACTTCTGATGGCGTAACTATAACATTCTCAATATCATTTCCATATGTCACCGCATGAGGTTGGGTAGATGGGAGGGCGGAGGCCTGAGAAGTGGATTGAGAAGAACTGTTGGTAGCTCTGGCAGCTTGTCGGCGCATGGCAGCCATTGCCTGCTCTTTTGTCGGGGTGTAAGGAGAAGAGGAATATGGTATATCGTGCTTTGGTGGTTTATACTCCAATAGAGGACGCAATAACTCAAGGACGCCATATTGTTCCGCCAATTCCTTGCCTCTTTCATATGGAACCCTTAACAAATAATTATGATCAAGTGACATTTAGTAATTTAAAAATGCTTCTAAGCGTGTCAAAAATATTAAATATGATTGAATCAAAATGATGAAAGGCAAATCAGCGAATCCGCATAAATTATTAATCTATTTTTTTTTTTTTATATATAGAACTTACCATGTGCCCTGGTACTTTCCATAACCACCTTGAACCTTCTCGTGTTCCCCTGTTAAAACTTCTTTTTCGATGATTTTTGTGCGTTTCCCTTTTTCGAGCCCTGCAACTTTTAGAATCTGCGTGGCGTTCAGATACGAATCTGGTCTTCTACGCATAACAGCAACTTCACGAACAAGAAACTCATAGACTGGCACTCCAGAGTATACTGCGGAGTATATTGGGCCGAGATTCGGTCTTGGAACAGAAACAGAGTCAGGTGTTGAAGGCCTTGGAGTAGAAGGTGTGTCCTGTAAGGATGGTGACTCGATTGGAACGTTAGAAGGTGGAGGTGTCTTCGCGTTATTGTAAATTTCATTTGTGCTACTCGAATCAATTAGGGGGGCCGGAGGTGAACTTGGTGCTGATGCATCCATTTTTAACATTCGAAAGTCAGACACGCTATTTAATATGAAAAATTAATAAAATAAATGTAAGGATAGTTTCTACTCCTGAAGCATTGGATGTTGAAAACTCACGGTTTACAAACCGGCTAAGCTTAAATAAAGAAACTGATAAATGAGTCTATTCAGCACGCGGTGTGCCACAAGTGACACGAGTAACGCACGGTTCGTAATCTATTGCTTTGCTATTCATCTTACTGAGTATTTTATATTACGTGACAAAGAATATTGAATTATCATTATTACATGATCGATATTTTTTGTCACGTATTAATAGTCTCGTTTCGTATGTTTGAGCAAGATAATGTCAAAAACAAAGTATCTTAAAACATTATATTGGAAACATTGAGAAGGTGAAAAATGAATAAAAGATATCCAGTATCAGAACACGTGGTGGAAACAGATTGTATTCTGTAGTGGATGTAGAAAATTGTTTGAAAATCAAGAAAGGATAAATGAAAAGAAAGAGATCCTTTTCGCGCAAGTCAGCCCAGAAAAGCAGAAAAAGGATCGCGACAGGCAATGCGAGTACCAAACAGAAATGCCCAAACCACGAACTCATCAGTCAGGTCTCGACTGGAAACGCAAGGGCTTCACACCATCTTGGAATGGTCGAGGTTTTTATTACCAGGAAGGATCGGCTCTGCAAATTTGCGTACGAGCTTGTTGAATGGATTTTTGGCAAGAACAGTATAAAGATCATATATGGTACTCGGTTCGGACGTCAACATTAACGACGCTGAATCCGGTGAGCTTGCCGAGGACCTATTATCGATCGTTACTATCTTTTCGGCAAGACGCAATGGACTCAGATCAACCGAGAACCGAAAACGACGAAACACAAAAGATACTGATTTATCCAATGCCCGAAGAAAAAGAAAGTTAGAAAGTAGATAAGAACTGTGAGATGGACAACAAGGTTCTTGAGATGGTGAATGACGATGGAATCACCGACGTAAGCGTCATAAGAAGGCATTACCTGAATGATGAGTGCCTTAAAACTGAAGAACTCCTCCGGGTAAAGAAACCTAAGGAAGTATGTCGTACGCGATTCGATAATTGATGAACGCATGCAAAACAAACAAGAAGTTACATGGAGAAAATTTTCGAATGAAATAAGATCGAAGAAGGATCGAACATAAACCATCTCGATCCTTGCTAGGGATTGGAAGGGAAATATGCGTCCCTAAAGAATATTATCACCTCAGAACGACATCAGATATAAATAATACGTATAACTACGAATCACCTAGGACACTTTTACTTGCGTGTTTCTGTTTTTTTTGATATCATCACCAACCAAAATGATGTTTTGGGAAAGTCAATTCAGGTGTTCGCACGTTTGTAACTAATTGAGTGGGGTAACGGTGATTTTAATAAAATATTCAAATTATCCGAGAAATATGACAAATTACAGAGTGACAAAGATCTTGCTTTGGGAAAAACAAACCAGAAAAGAGATTTCGATTAAGAAAAAAAATGCTACGAATCATACACGAGTGCCATAATCAGCTGACCCGTTGGTTTATGAGATCATTCTTTTACCCAAATTCGAATATTCGAGGTTGGTTTGAAAACAAGCGAAAGATTCGGTCAAAGACTGCTCGTGCAATGCTAACTTAGTCGCATTTCAGGCTTCGGATATTTTTACATCATAAATCGACATTGAACGCACCGAAGAGTATATATCAAAGACGTGTAGGAATTGTGGATTTATAAAAATGATCTTGGTGGATCAAAATCATTCAAACGTGACGTGCAAGGTGGAGATGGATCGGGATGTGAATGGCGCCGGGAATATCTTGTTCAAACATTTAATGGAGGGTCAGGTTTTGACCTGACTTTGGGACTCGAACATATATGGTATAAGATATGCATAGTAAAGATTAACTTTATTTATTTACATTGAATTAATTTCAAGGGCTGACGGAATGAGAAAATTGTACTAAAACCCTGCGTCAATAAAATGAACAAGATCGGCTAATACCTCACGAAAAAGAATTATATACGTATATAAATTCATCTCTTATTAAGTTAGCTCGTGCTAATGAATTTTAAATAAAAAAATCAAGAAAGCTAACATTTGATTAAAAAGTAAAAATATTAATATTATAAACTAGCAGGTAGCGCTGCTTCAGGATTGAGGGTTTAAAATAATTTATTATTTTTATAGAGAAAATAATTTATGTATATTTATATATTATTGTTTTTTTTTTAATTATTTTACAGAATATACAGTATACACATTATATTAATTAATTAATTTTAATTTATTACTGTTACTATCATATAAAATTTAATATAGTAAATGTTAATACTTTTATAACTTAATATTTATACCTTAAAATTTATAGTTACTATAATACAAAAGTTTAATTAGAAATCAGCACTACTATAATTTATTATTTGGGCTTTAAATTTTATAATTTTAAAATTATTTGGATTATTTGAATTATTGTTTTAATATATGTATATATAAGATTGGTTAGTTATTATAAATAATTAATTTTATAAAAATTTTTTAAATAAATATATCATATACAATATATATCAAAAATAATTAAACATCAAAATTTAATATAATATTCTTTTGCAATTATTGAAAATTCTTATTTTACAACTTTTTTATTAATATGGATAATTATTTTTGAAGGCGACAAAAATGCTAGATATGATTTTTTCGGACCTAACTTTTAAACAATACTTATATAGTATAAATTCTAGTATCATGCCAGAAAATTTCCGGTTCGCCTTCGAAAATAATTACTCATATCATTAGTTTAATTAAATAAAATCTTAAAATCTTGTTTTATTTTTTTCTATAAATTAGAATAATGGATTTAAATTTTATAAATTAAATTTTTTACATATTATTTTTACAATAATTTAAAAGTTTCTAATATGATTCAAGTTTAAACTATTTAAAAATTAATTATAATATTAAAAATATATTTAGTAATAAAAGTTTAAACAATTTTACAAATATATGTCAAATTATTATTTTATTAAAAATATTAATTATTTTTTGAAATTTTTTTAATTTCAAATAAGTATATACAAAGAATATTTATATAACATTTATTATTTCTAATATTATCAAAATAAAATAATAATATTTTTTTATATAAAAATCATTTCAAATAAAGAATTTTTTTAATTTTTAATATAGTATACATAAACTATTTATTTTTATATCATTTTTTTATTGTATTACAAAATAAAAAAAAGTGGTTTTATTAATAAAAATAGGTTTGTTTCAGTTGTTATTAATATATTAATTTATTTAATTTATATAATTTGATTTTTGTTTATTATTTAATATAAATATTATTAAAAAAAATGTTATTTTTAATATTCAAATCTAGTCAAGTGTCTTTGAATTATTATAATAATAATAATAATATTTTTATTTTTTCTAGTTTGATTGTCAAAGTTTTTAAAGAAAATAGTTATTATATTAAATATATTAATTTATTACTTTCAAAAATTATTCAATAATATTTTGTAACAATTTATTTTTACTTATATATTTTATCTTACATATTTTTTTAATTTTTTTAATATATATTTGATTAATATTATAAATTAGTTATACTGACTCAAAAATCGTTTCAATGTTTATAAATTTTTTTTTATAGTCTATAATTTTTGAACAACTAACTAAAAAAAATTGCAAATATAATTATTAAAAGATTATGATTATATTTTTTAACCAGTATTTTATTTAATGTTATTTATTAATAACTTTATTAAAAATAAAATAATTAAAGTTATTAAGTTTATCGGTACAATTTTTTTGCTAAATTTAATTTTTAAATTTAATAATCTGTATGTCCTCCCTTTGCTTTAATTACAGCAGCAATTCTTCGTGGCATACTATCAATAAGTTCTATACATTTTTCAGTAGAAATTTTATTCCATTCTTGCTCAACCCATTCCCAAAGTTCATTCATACCATTAGGTACATTTGTATAATCTAAGAGCTTTCTTTTAAAATGACTCCACAGATATTCAATAGGATTCAAATCTGGTGATTGCGAAGGCCAATATAAAATTCTAATTTCATTATCTTCTAACCATTTTTGAGTTTTTTTTGCTAAATGCTTTGAGTCATTGTCATGCTGAAAAATAATATTTTTATAATTTAGTCTATACCATTCTATTGTACCTAAAAGATGTTTGTCTAAAATATTACAGTATAATTCAGCATCCATAGTAGTCGTTATATAAACTAAGTTTCCTATTCCCTTTGCTGTTATACATCCCCAAACCATTAATGATCCTCCACCATATTTCACAGTCGGTATCACGTGATTGCTCTGAAGCAACAAGTTTGTTTTTTTCCAGCCCCATTTTTGACCATCTGATCCAAAACAATTGATTTTAGTTTCATCTGAAAAGATAACCTTTCTCCAATCTTCAATTGTCCAATCTTTATATCTTTTTGCATAATCCAATCTTTGTTTTTTATGATACGGTTTAAGAAAAGGTTTTTTCTTTTTGATAATTGATTTCATTCCATTTTTTTTTTTAATATATTACGGACCGTCTGTGCTGTAACATTAATATTAAAATATGTTTTAAGGTATTTTTGAACATCTACAGCTGTATCTGCCTGTTCTGAACAGATTAAATGCATGATGTAACATTCTTGTTGTTGATTTAAAGAAGATGGACGACCAGCTAGAGGTTTTGATATATCAGGACATATATTTTGACAAATTCTTGATACAGTACTATGACCAATACCAAGTTGGATAACGATTTTTCTTGTAGATAAGCCGTGATAAATCAAAGAAATAATATTATTGCGTTTTTGTTTAGAAAGATGTTTCATTATTTAAAAAATAATGTATAAGCGATAATAAACAATAAATTAACGTTCTTTATATATATTTCTAAAAAATATTTATTATAGCATAATTTATAGTAAAATATTTAATAAATCATCATCGCCAAAAAAATTGTATCAATGTGCATATCAACTTTAATTAACTATTTTTTAACACTGACCATATTAACTTAAATTATTAATATACTATTTAAAAGGTTAAATAAATATGTATCTATAGTTAAATTTATTACCTTTTTAAACTAATCGTTCAAAAGATATACACTATAAATGAAAAAAGTTTTAATTATTGGCACAATTTTTTGAGTCAGTGTATATTATATGTATAGTATAATTATATCATGGGTAGATGAGTTTTATTTTTCCTAGAATATTAATTTTTACTATGACAACTATGACGGGTAGATAATAAATATATTAAAGCTTTTCTTCTATACTGAATCCGTCCCACTGAACATTTATTTTACTAGGACAAAACTATGACGGATTTTTTATTAGGATGCGAGCAGATCTATTTTTGACTGCATTCTGGAATATCAATCGTAAGATAGAACTTATTAAAGGCAGTTAAAAAGTAACTAGTCGATATATATTGCTACTAGGGGCAAACAAGGGACAAGGTAAGTCGATATACTTTAATAATATTTGATGTACTTTATATCAATAAAATACAACTAGAGCAAAACCAAGAAGGTTTTTGATAAAATACGTATATCATGTATACAATATGCCATATAACATGGATATATTATAATGTGTCCATATAACGTACCTGATAGCCTATGTAGATTACACTTGGCGCACCTCAACACTAGTAAAGGTCACTTGAAGTGTAATCCCTGAAGCCCTCACCCCTTGATCGTTAGGAGGTGTCTCCATCGAATTGTTTCTTAATACGGGATCGCGGGTTGCATTAGGATCGAATAGGACAATAAAAGAGAGAGCCATCAAAATCAAATAGTATACAATATTCGGGTCAAAAAAGGCTGTGATACGAAAAGCGCAAAATAATATGCCCCTCATGAAATTCCAAACTAAATGATCACTCTGACGACAGAATATTCGACCAGTAATATATATGACCACTAGTATCTCTATGACATTTGTCGCCCTAAATAGTTTTATACTTGTGCCACTGATAGCTGCTATCTGAAAGAACAATAAGTTTAGTGAAGGAATCCCTTTTTTTTTCTACCCGAAATATTTCCGATTTGTAGTACTACCTTAAGTGCAATATAAGAACATAAAAGTATGACAACAATAAACAAATCCAATGTTTGAGGTTCAGTTTGGTGAAGACGATGGGATAAGAATAATAAAAAGGATAGAATCATAAACCATCCGAAAGTTTCAATCCCATATATAATGTTTATGTTCAAGTCCCAGGCAAGGAAAAGGGATGAGAACACAATTCCCATTAGTTGGAAAGAAATTTTGAAGGCTTTCGTAAGGGGATAGTCTTCATCCCGGGTCAGTGTCAAAATAAAATTTATGAAAAAAATCTGCATGTGTCGATACAAACGGTATTGTATTTAGTGTTTAAAACCCTGACAGATTAATGTTTTTATAACAATATACGAATGCTGCACATAGGAATATACATTACCAAAATTAAAATGGCATGTAAAATTGCCACCACAGGTGTATAAAAAACCATTAATAAGATGTTTGATTTTGTATTCTCTCTTTTATTTCGTGTTGGCAAATTCCTTAGCTCACAGGAAATATATATAGTCTTATGGTCCTCGTACTGTAGAGCAACAAAACTCCGTTCTTGGTTTGTGCGACCTCAGGGGTATGGTACCATCGAAAAAACTTTTTTTTTAGGAAATAAAACAATAAATAGGTTGCCTATTATTTGTAACTCAAGAAAGAGTATGGATGCAAACGCGCTTTCAAATCTCGAGATGCGATATAAATCGTAAACCAATATAAGTACTGTAGTTTGCAAATTATTTGTATTTATTCACAGTCAGGTGACTCAAGTTTTACACCCACACCTTTACACGTTACACCTAGGTAACATCTTTACGGTTAAGTGACTTACAGAAATTTGTTTCTAAAGGAAATAAAAATCATTGTAGAAAGGAGTACATGAATCATCTAGTTTTCCTTAAGACAAAAATCAATTGGGGATATTAAACCGATATATGAAAATCCAGATGAACATTAATTTCGAATTTGGATTTCAGAGGGTATTTCACTCATCAATGTGGTTAATTTTTTGAAATCAGCCATCTCATAGTGTGGCTAAAATTATGGCTAGAATTATGAAAGAAATTATCTTTAAGTGTGGTTATAATTATTATTTAGGTTACACACCTGAGTGATAATAATCTAAATTAAGTAAAAATACTAGAATTATATTATTTCCACTAATGTCTTCACTTTTACATCTCAAATATTTTAACACTATTTATAAATTATTACAATATTAATTTTTTTAATCCTAATTAAAATATTAAAATAATATTGATTTATAATAAATTTAATATATGAGTTATAATATATACTATAAACTTATAATAAATTCAATATCGAGATTGAAATTTCTAATAATATTATTTAATATCAAATCAGTACTGGATTTACTATAAGTTGGATTATAATTCATATATTAAATTTATTATAAGTTAGTATTATTTTGATATTAATTTAAAACGTTAATCAAAATAATATCAAAATGATATTATTAGATATTTTAATTCTAACAAAGTATTTATTGAATTTATTTTTAAACAATAATATCATTATATTTTATTTATAATTTTAATTTGAATTGAATTTCTTTTTTAATTAATTATTATTATACCATTTTAAAATATTTCTTCTTATTTATTATTTTTTTTATAAACTTAATACTTATCTGCTTAAGTATAGTAATTAGTATACATGTTAAAATTTATAGATCCTTAATACAATTGATACAATTATTTTTGAAAATTTTAGGAATTAATTAAACAGAAAATAATTTAAGACATATGTATAATAATTATCAAATTAAAATTTTTTATAGCAAAATAATTAAAACAATTAATTATGATTTAAAATTTAAATAAAAATTTTTGAAGGATTTTTATTTAAATTAATTTTTTCTAAATATAATATTTATTTAAACTTTATATTTTTTAAAATGTTATTAAAAATATTACTTAATAAATAAGATTGCAAATTACTATTAAATTTATTTTAATTTATTTTAATTAATTTATAATTTATAATTTATAATTATAAAAAAAATAAACTTAATTATAAAATTAAATAAAAATACTCAAAAAAATAAATTATTTTAAATTCAGATTAATAATTGCTTATAATATAAAAATTATAAAAAATCAGTTTTAAATTAAAATTAAACAAAAAAAACTCTCTCTTAATTATTTCTGTTTTGTTAAAAATTTTTCTTTTATGATAATTTTAAGTAAGAAAAAAATGTTTTATACTCTTTATTACAAGTAAGCTCTAACTCAGAAACTCAAAACCTTCAAGACAACTGGTGCAGTGAAATGGAATTTCAGATCAAAATCTATTTAAGTTTAGGAATTTTGTTTATCCTTCAATTACATAAAAAAAAGCCTATAGCAGTTTTCTATTTTTTTGTTCTTTTACACTACTCCTAACTCTTATTCCATTATAAAAATTATCCATATTATTACTATCATACTTGCTAAGCAAAATACTTTTCAAAATATACATTTAAATATAACTAGTGGATCTACTGTTTATTTTAAATCAACTTTTAAAATTGATTTTACTATAGTGATATTTGCTGTATCATTTCTGGCCAAAAAATCAAAATCAGTTTACTATCTCCAGATGATCAATGATATCCAATTATTCAATCAGATTTTGTTTAAAAATTAAAACAAAAACTAAACCTGTTTAAATCAGTTTTATATAATAATAACAATAATTACAATAACAATATCTATTATATTACTATTTGACAACTATAACAATAAACAATATTATATACAGTATACTTTATTATCTATGGTAATCAAAGAGCCAGAGAAATAGGACAACAAGTTTGTCTAAGGATTCTCTTGGAAAAATAATTGATTTTCTAATTATAGATTTTATAGTTTATTTCATTTAGTTTTAGTTTTAGTTATATTTATTTTTTTTCTTTTTTAATTACTTACTTACAAATTTATAAAAAGACTTTACAAAATTTTTTAAGCAGGTAAACATAGTTACTATTCAGATACAATTAATATATAATATTGTATTAGCTAGATATGTATGCATAGGCAAGCTAGTATTTAACTTGTTACTTTATATATGTAAAAAATGTTATTTCTTTTACAGTATTGTAAAAGGAACCGAAAAATTAGATAGATTCAACATATGTCATCCTCGCCCAATTGGGATTTAATTGAGGCTTGAGGGATTTTTGGGATTTTTGAGATTTCTTAACATGTATATAAAGAGAGAAATGTACTAAAAAAAAAGCAACAATAAAAATACTGTCCTTTTACTATAAAACTCAGACTATTATCTAACACTTTCACTTATCTTGTGCCACATCTCCACGCCTCTTTCGATGTTACACGATTGGTGATCGCGATGTAGTGACAGACTCGCCATTATAACCCCCAACAGTATATACCATGTTATATACAATATCAAATAAAGAAATAATGTTTATCTAAAATAAAACTCTTTCCGCTGATCCTTTTGCCAACCCAAAAAACAGATGTTCTTGAAAAACTTTCATGTTTCTCAATAATAAAGTCTACACACTTTCTTTAACAACAAATATTCCTTGAAGCAGC